GTTTGTTTTTTTTTTTTCCTTGTGCTTGAAAGGAATTTCTGGAAATAAGTCTAAAGGCGAAAGTAGTTTGTTTACATTACAGATGAACAGCAGCGCTGCCACCAGGCTCCCCCTCGCCGCCCTCCCGCCCCACCATCGCAATCGGGTTTAAAGTGGAATCTCACCGGCCACGTGAAGTTAAAGGGCAGCTTAATGGGGCTGTCAAATCTCTCCGTATCCTTGATGCTGAAGGAGTTTATTCCCAGAACCGGGGTGATGATGCTGCCGAAAGTGCAGGAGCCCGGGGAGACCACTGCCTGAAAATGCTTCAAACAAACGCGAAAGAAGGTCCTGCAGTGGGGGGAGCAGGGCTTCCCGCTGGCCAGAGACCCGTGGCTGTTCACGAATTCGTGCAGCTCCAGCTGGAAGACGCCAGAGCCGGACACCCTCTGCACAAAGGGGAGATACACAAAATAGCCAAATCAGACCCTACCCCGGCTTTGCCATGCAAACTTGCTTCCATCACCCACTTTACATTTCGCGAACCCTTTTTTTTTTTTTTTGCGACGTGCGATTACCTGCTGCAAAATCATTAACAGAAACGTCAAGCCAAAGATGCGCAAGGCTGTCATCCTTGTGTTACTCAAGCTTCCAGTTCTCAGGGGGTTTAGTTTTCCTCCTGTATTCCTCAAACGGTCCAAGCAAGCGCCTCTCGGTTGAGGGAGAAAAGCGAGGCGTCGCGGCGATTCTCCTGGAGCAACCTGCTCTTCCAAATATTCCCCGTGCACCAGCAGAAATCGGAAGGTAAAAAAATCCAGGTGTCGGTCCGTCCCCTTCTGGGAATTAATCCTGCAGCCAACCGCCGACCCCTGCTCGCCGTCGTCGCCTTTATAAACTCCAAAGCCGGGTGGGTTTGGTGAGGGACGCGGAGGGGAGTGCTTAGCGTGGAACCGCTCCTCCTCTAACCGGTGCCAACAGCGCTCAGTAAATGGAAAACTTGCTTCCCTTCGAGCTGTTTATATAGTTGCCCCGCATCCTCGCAAGCTCATTATGTAAACTGTCAGTCAGACTCACGGCCGATCCCTCCCCTTTTCCATCTTTCCTTTCTGGAAAAAAGAACCAAATGTTGCGGAGAGCCCTCATACCCAGAATTAATACCCTGCTGCCGCCGCCGCCGCCGCCGCCCTGCCCGCCGAGGAGCCGAGCTGATTACGAACCGGCCCAGCATCTGTTGAGATATTTACGGCGCTCGCACCGGGAGAGTTCCCTCGAAAATCAGACGCCGCCGCTCCACGGAGCAGCCCGCCAGAGCGGCCGAACGATAGTTTAAAAAACACGCTTCTTTGTTTGCGTGTTTGCTCGCTTGCTCGCTTGTTCGTTCGCTGCTTTCCCCCGCCCCTCCCCGCCGGGCTACGCGGGGT